CTACAGGTATGGCTCACCACACCGGGTTCTGTTTATCGGTTTTAAACTCTACGTTGTTCTCAGTACTGTAGTGTGATGAAATCTTCCCTTGTCCTGCTCTGTCCAGCGCAGGACCTGAATCATCCTTTGCCCACAGTATCCATCCTATATAGGCTACTCCCCTCTAGCCACTAAGCTGCCTTCTTGGTATCAGACTCACTCTCTCCAGATTGCAGTACCTGTGTTCAAGTAACCCTTATTTTACTCAACAACCTCAAAATACAAGAGTAGTGATGCTAGCACTGCAAACAAGGCCCACAGTTTATACCCCATAATTATTATAGTGTGTTGTTATAATCATTCTGCTTCATTATCAGTTGTTGGTAATTTCTTACTGAGTCTAATTTATACATTAAACTTTACCTGAGGTATGTATTGTAAAAAAGACACAGTATCTAAAAGGGTCAGTGTTATTTATGGTATCGGGGACTACTGTAGATTTAGTGTCATCAATCTGCATCAGGCTTAACTTCTAACATTCCCTTCCTCTGCCCACTCGGAGATAACCTCACCTATTACTTCAAATAAATCATCCATCAGACAGGGTCACCAAGCGTCTCTATCATTCTACCTTGCTCCACGGTCAGCCTGTCTGCATGCCTCTTATTTCAGTGGAGTTCATTCTTTTTCTTCCTGTCTTTTTATTCACCCACCTCCTTGTTTCTCAGCCCCTGTACCTCTCTGTCTTGTTTCATATAATTTCTAACTGTTATGTTTTTTTCTGATCATTCATGCTGGCTTTTCTTGTTTGTTTCTTCCATCACGAAACAATGAAGACACAGATGCAGCCCCTGCCAGTGAACACACACACACACACACTTCTACCCCAACAGACACACAATTTCCATTATCCATCCTTTTCCCAGCTTATTCCCCATCCCACTGCCAAGTTTCTTAAAAATTATTCCTATTTTTCCTCAACTTCTCACTCCACTCTAATCTGGGATCGGCTCCAAAGAATTCACCCACAAAGCTCTTGATAAGCCACTGATTATCTGAAACTGACTGGAGGCACCAATGTCAACAGATCTTTCTCTGTATTTCTTTCACTGACTCCTTCATGAACATTTTCTCCTCCTGGCTTCTACCACAGCTTCTCACCCTCTTCCCATTTCTCTAGTCACGGCCTTTCTGTCTCTTTTCTATGTTCAATCTCAGGTCTAGTCAGTAGCGACAATATTCTTCCTTCCTCTCTAAGACAGTTCTTGGTCTTCTTTCCTTTCATTCTATACTTGTTTCTCAGCCAATCCTGCATGGTCCTCCCTCTAATTAGCAAACATATGCAAATGACCCAATTTACATATCTGGCCCAGATCCTATCCAACTGCCAACTGTGGTTATCGCCAACAGATCCAAACACACACTTGAAACTGGAGTCCTAACCCCAAACCGCCATCATCCAAAGTGCTCATCTCAGGGGAGCCACAGCCATGCACACTAAACCCTCGTGAGGTTGTCAAGTTTCATACTTTTCAAGCTTTCCTTGTTTCTTTGGCAGGTATAGCTGTACTCCCCCTAAACTGCACCCGTTTAATATGTAAAATTTGATGAGTTTAGGCGGATGCATACACCTAGCCGCAATACTCTTACCATAATCAAGGTGATAAAAACAACCAGCTCCTCCGAAGTTTCCTTCTGCCTTTTGTGATGTGTGTGCATTTACATGCATGTGAGAATGTGTCACAGACACATTTAACATGCTCTACCATCTTAAGTGTATGTGTACAATATAGTTAGCATGGTCAGCTATAGAGGCTGGATTGTACAGCACATGTGTAGGATTTATTCATCTTTCATTACTGAAATTGTGTAACCATTAAGCAAGAACTCCCTGTTTTCTCCTCCTGGTGGAAACCCCCACCTACTTTAACTTTCTCTTCCTATCTCTCTCCCCTCTCCCTCCCCCTTTTTTGCTTTTCTTCCCTCCTTCTCTCAGTGTCTCTCTCACAATATCTCAATACTGGGGACTGAACCCAGGTCCTTTGTTCATACCAGGTTGCATCTCCAGCCCTTTTTAATCATTATTTAAATTTTTTTTTTTTTTTTTTGTACCAGGGATTGAACTGAGGTCTTTGCGCTTGCAAGGCAGGCCACCAAACCACTGAGCTAAATCCCCGGCCCTACTTTTTTTAAATTTTGAGACAGGATTTTGCTAAGTTGCTTGGGCTTGAATCTGTGATGCTCCTGCCTCAGCCTCCCAGTATGCTGGGATTACAGATATGCACCTCCATGCCTGGCTGCTGTGGGTTTGGCTGTTTCAGGTACCTCATACAAGGGGATGCAGGCAGTATTTGTCCTTCTGTGACTGGCTCTGTCACTCAGCACAAAGGAAGCATTTCCGTCCTAACACTAAACAATATGTCCAAGGGCCAAAATGGAATATTTCACTTCAAACGTGGAACTACTTTTTCCTCATTCCTATGTATGATCTGTCACGAAATCCTGTCATTTATTTCTTATCTCCCAAATCCATCCTTTCCACTACCACATATTAGCTCAGCCTGCTTTCAACTGCACAATGGCTTCCTAACTGGTTTGTCCTCAGCGACCCACGCCCTTGACTACATTCTACATGATGCAGGGCCAGTGAGGCTCCAGTCGGTGCTTATCTCTCTAGCCTTAGCCCATATAACATTCTCAGCTCTCCACTCTGTAGCCACTGGTCTTTCTTCCTTTCCTAAATGCTCATTACTATTTCTTCTACCACAGGGCCTTTGCACATGCTAGTTGTACCACTTGGAGTACTCATTTCCTTCAATCCTACCCTTCTCTCAGATTCCAGTCATGCTGTCTTCCTTAGTAAAGTCTTCTGGACTCATAAGCCCATGTCCCCCTCTCATTCTCCCAAGTGTCATTTCTTCCCTGCCCAGTCACTTTGTGATTTGATGCTCCGCCTCTTGCTTTATATTGTGCAGGCTGTGAGGTCACCAACAAGGTCTGATGTGGCTCCCAAGGGTCCCAGAGCCAAGAACATACCAACACGTGGCGGGACACTCAGGAGTGTGTAGAAAATCTTAGAAGCACAAAGGGAATTGCCAGGCACTAGAGATTTCCAGGGCCAACCCCTGTGGCTTATAATTTTAGATTAAGAGGAAATAAAAGCCCAACTCTGTGGTCCTGTCACAGTCCATTCCTCCTGGGCCCATTTTCCTAAAATACAGTCCCTGTCTGTCAGGACTTTGGATAAGAACGCTCAGTGAACTCTTTGGGGCTGCGCTGTCAGCTCTGTTTCAGAGAAGATGCAATCATCCGTCTCTGTTCCCGGGCAGGGCAGGGGTGCAAACAGGCTGGGGGCAGCTGTCGCCTCTTCCCCTGGGACCCTGGGGCCGTCTGGCTAACTGCCTCCCAGGCCTGGGGCAGCTGGAACAACACAGGGCTCCTCTGCCCGAGGATTCCTTAGTCAGGATCTTACAGCAATGCTTCCAAGAGGCCTCTGTCTCCAGCAGCTTCACCATCAGCTGCACCCTGACTCTGCATCTCACTGTTACTACTGAGGTGCTGGGGACGGAATTCAGGGCCTCTAGACAGCGTTCTGTAGCTGAGCTACACTCCAGCCAGCCTCTAGGTCTTAATGCTCAGTGCCTTCTGAGAACACGAACCTTCAGCTCACAGCACGCAGGCTGCGCGGGGAGCGTGAGATGTGTCGATCTGGCTTTGAAAGAGTCATGTCACTAAAGGTGCCGAAACTGACCAAAACGTTGACTGCATAATTTTCGGTTGCAGTTTTCCTGTTATTCAACTTACAAGTAGTATTTCCAGGGGTACCTTTGAAGGCGCCGTACACACAGATACTCTCCTGTTACTTGAGTTACAGTAAAACTGCAGTGCAGCTAAGTATGACAAATTATAGGTGTGGACGTTATAATAGGCCAACTGTGCATCGTGCTGATGTCCTTCTGTGTGTTCGACAAAGTATACAATTTTAACAACAAAAAGTTAATACGTGACCCCCCCACACACATCATGTGAGTGGGCAGCAAGATGGCAGCCACCTATTGGCTAAGACCAGAGATCCCAGAATAAAATCTATCTTATTGACACTTTGATCTTGGTTTTCCAGTCTCCAAAATTGGGAGAAGTAAATTTCTCTTATTTGAAACACTCAGTGTATGTTATTCTGTTATGGCAAGCCCAAGCAGACTAAGACAAAAGCAAAATGAATCTGTATAGCTTTTTCACCATCACATCTCAAACCGTAACAAGATGAAACAAAAGCTTTTTCCCATACACCTCTCTCTCCATCCTTTTACTTATCTGAAGATCTCCACCTGTGCTGTCACACAAAGTCTCCACAATACTCATACCAGGTGCTAATTCTTACTCCAACCGGACAGATGAGGAAACTGAGTTACAAAGTTAAATAAGCAGAGTGAGCTCACATTCAGCCAGAGCAGGGCTGGGCTGTAAACCGAGGCACAGTGACCCGAGGACCTGCAATCTCCCAGCTGCGCTGCCCTGCACCTTCCCTTGCTGTCGCGGGGCTGTGAACTGTATGATTATGTTCATCGCTCCAGTGATGATTCATTTTCATTCTTGCTCTCCTGCCTTGTCCAGGAAACACTTACTCAAGACTTTTCCTCCACCAAATAACCTATTCTCATCTGCCAACGACCATACATAACTCATTTTCTGGTGTGAGTTGACTTCGACTGGAGCAGTGAAAATAAAAAATAGATTGTCAATGCTAGAAGGAAAGCATCCAAGTTCAGTTTACTTATAGAGCAAATAAAACGGGTGGCTCTGAAATTAAAAAATAATAACAAAGGAACCAACCCTGAGATAGGAGAAAACCACAGAGGCTATAAAAAAACATTCTCAATCACACTGAGGAATGGGAGTAACTCCAAGGCTGAGTTCTTTCCTTGGTTTAGACAGGTTCTGGCGATTAAATTCTGCCCATTAAAATACGGAGTTGAATTCAACTAATACCCGATGAGGAATAAAGGAAGCCATCACCTTACCTGCTGATGTGTGTTTGAACTTTTCACTTTTCTTCTTCCTCCATTTCCAAGGCTTGAAAATCCTTCCCAGGTTGGCAAACTTACTTCTCCTCCGGATGGGTGGGGTGTGGGTACCCGGCACAAGGGAGTCAGAACGCATAGCTGCCAGCCTCTCCACTTCCTCAGCTTGTTTTCCCCAAGAAGAAAAGAGGTGGAAATAAAGAGAAGAGGGGAAAAGTGTTAAAACGGGAGCCTCACAGATGGCCGGCGTTTTCCATGGTTACGGGCAACAGAAACCACGTGACTGGAGCTCCATTTGCCTTTTGGAATGGAAGGCGCACCGAAGTGGAAAGGCTGGGACAGTGAGCCCAGCCCTGGGATCCCTAACACCCCACTGCCAACCAAATTCACTTCTTTATTTAAAGAAACAGTGTCTCACTATGGTTGCCTAGGCTGGTGCCAGACTCACTGGCTCCAGTGAGGCCCCTGCCTAGGCCTCCTGCAGCTGGCGTTTCAGGAGTGCACCCCTGTGCCCAGCGTCCCCAACCGAATCTGCTCAGCCTGCACCTAGATGGGAGGAACAGGGAGACAAAGGCTCTCCCGGGGCATGAGACTCTCCAACAGGGAGCGAAAGGCCACGGGGAGAGGCGAGCGACAGTGTAACTACTGGCCCAGCAATTTCTCAATTAAGACTTGGCACGGGCAAGCACTACAGACTGTCAGCCTGGAAATAAAGGAGGAAGGAAGTGTGGACCAAATGCCAATTCCAATGCCGTGGTCTCCACCACCCACTGCTCTCCACTGCCTACTGCCCAGCTTTACCCAGACCTCAGGACACTGACATGCGTGGATGACCTGCCTCGACCCCGGGTTACTGAGCTGGTTTCAGAATTTCTCACTCTTCCATTAGATCTTTACAGTTGCTTTACTTCCGCTACATAGTTTTATTTCCTCCTGGAGTTTTGCTTTAAAAAAATAATTGTCAGATATTGAGAGCTAGGAATATCTTAGGGAATATCGAGTTGAATCCCAGTAACTGAGTATCTCCAGATTGCTATCATTTGGATCTACAAGGCTCCCCCAAAAGCATGTGTCATGGGGTTGGTTCCCAGCCTGGGGCACTCTTGGAAGGTGGCAGAAGTCTAAGTGGTGACTAATGAAGGTCCTAAGTCACTGGGCACATGTCCTTGAAAGGGATGATGGGACCTTGGTTTCTTCCAGTTCCTCTCTCTCTCTCTTTTGCTTCTTTGCCATGAGGTGAACAATTTGTTCACCAAATTCCCACCACGATATGCCATGTTTCCTGCCACAATATGCTGCTGCCTTACTAGAAGCCCAAAGCAATGGGACCAATCATGGACTGAAACCAGCTAAACAAATCTTTCTTCTTCTTCTTTTTTTTTTTTTTTTTTTTTTTTTCGTTTTTTGAGACAGGGTCTCGCTATGTGCTTGAGACTGACCTGGAACTCACTATGTAGCCCAGGCTGGTCTCGAACTCACAGTGATCCTCCTGCCTCAGCTTCCCAAGTGCTGGGATTACAGGCATGCGCCACCACTCCCGGCTATATATTGATCATCTCACGTATTTTGTTACAGTAACAGAAAGCTAACAGAAGTATCATAAGACTTTCAATCTTTCTTAAGAAAGTCTTCTGGACCCTTCCTTAAAGGCCACAACTGCCCAACCTCTTTTTTCACCACAAAGAATGAAACAAACTCTTTTCCAAGTTACATGAGTATATATTCCACTGAGCTAAAAATATGCCAACTTGAATTTCTAAGATGAGAATAATCAGAGAAAATAATTTCCTGGGCAGAATCACAGGGATAGAAAGGACTCAAGTTTTCCAGAAAGCAAAATTACATGTAAAGCTGCAGCAAATCCAAACCACTGTTTGTCCCTGAACAATGACCTTCAGAAAAATCACCCAGACTTTTGCAAATATACAGTCCTGAAAGCTTGATCTTGTGGCCTGAGACTTTATCTGTCACAGTGCAAAACTCATTTAACTGAGGGAGATCCCTCCAATCTACCAATGCACGTGGATGCATGATCACATGCCAGGCTCCACGCTGTGGCAGATGTGTGGGTGACAGATGACGATGAGCTGGCAAAGGATCCTGGCAGCAGGACTGAAAAGCAGTAGATAGATCTGGGAGGTGGGCTGGACGAAAGTCTAATTGTAAGACTCAGTGATCAACTGGTGACCTGAAGAACAAAGAGTAGTTCATTCCCAACTCCGAGTCACAGCGGTAAAATGCCAGCCACCCTTTATCTATCAAGACAAGGAACATGGGATGAGGCAGAGGTTGGTTGGTGACAACTGGGACACATTCTAATGAAGATGGCACTTGAACCTTTGACTACAAATGTCCCTTGGGTTAGGAACTGCTTACCTCCTGATGAACCCGTCGAAGGCTGAAAATACCATGTGGAAAACACACTGAAACTCCCTGATCTACTCGCATCCTACCTTAGAAAGACGGCACACTGCAGAGTGTGAGTTGTGAGCCCTTGTGATAAGGGGGCTGGCAAGGAGCAGCAGTCACTGGTGCTGCCCAGCATCCAAGACCTGAGTGGACCACGTATCAGTAGCAAGGGAAAAGTCCACATTCAAAATAGAAGTATGGTTTCTACTGGGTGCGAATGGTTTTGGCTCCACTGTACAGCTGACAAATCCAACTCAGATCCCCATAAGTTGCGGGCCAGCTCTACATGGTTCAATGCACTGGCAGCTTCTCTTTTCACAGAGAGACCACTCAATTCTGCGCCAGATACTGATTATTCATGGAGAAAACGGGGGAGAAGACAGAGTCAGTGTGTAAAATACCACAACAGGGGGCAATGAGGCCAAATCCAATGGAGGGGAAGTAGAGGCAGTCATTGATTCCACCTCAGGGTTGGAGTAGATCCCAGAAAGGTGCTGTGTGGCTAGGTTTGGCAAAAGAAAGAAGAGGCCACTGCGGACCTCTGGCAGAAGCAAGAGCCCCAAGAGGCCAGGAAGAGCATGGCAGATCGAGGAACGTCCAGGGACCCAGTGAGCCATGTGCATCACAGAACTGTGGATGGAAGGCCAGGAGCCAGCATACCCGTTTTTGACAAGGGTTAGTAGACATGTAGGTTTTAGCCTATTAGCAGAGAGTAAAGGATAAGAATTTGAAAATGCGACACTGACATTATCACATTCAATAAAGATGTACATCGGACATTCACTTTGTACTAGGAATTCAGGCTGCATCAGAAAAGAAAATAGATAAAAATACTGACTTGTGGAACTTGCACTGGGGAGCAGGGCAGCCAATAAACACTGAGACTAAGTACAAAGTATGGTAGAAGGTACATGCTCTTGGGGAAATAAAAAAAAATAAAGGAAGAGTAGAATGTTGTAAAGCAGATCAAGGGTACCCAGAGAAGGTGGTCATTTTTCACGAGCACAGTGAGAGTCAGCTCACTAGAGAAAGCATATGATCAGACGCAACCAGATCTGTTTCTCAAGAAAACCACTGTGGCAACAGAGACAAGCTAAAAGGAAACGCAAAGAAACCAGTGACAGACAGAACAAGAAGGCCACTGGAGCCTCACTGGCTAGGACCCAGGGAGGGTGGTGACAGAAGGATGGAAAGGAAGATGACACTCAGCCAGGAGGAAGAAGCAGCAGCTTTGGATAATTTCTGGATAAATACACCTGAGGAAGCGAGAGTGGCAAAAGTGTTCAGCTTTCATGACTAGATTGATGTGATGATTTCACATGTGTTAAAGAATTCTGATGATAATAGGAAGATGCGGACTTGGGTGACAGCTTGAAGAAAAAAGACTCTGGAGGCAGATCATGCAGTCTTCTTGCAAGGATCTTTAGAGGCTGGATTTTATGTCTTCACCTACCAAGAACTACTGAGCAGAAATTTAAAAATCTGTCCTTCTGGGGAAAGGGGAAACTCATTCTTTTCTGTACAATGAGCTCCACATCCAGAGGAGGGGAAGAGATGGAAGACACAAGAAAGAGGCTGAGAAATTTATGAAACTGAGTTCTACGAGCAGGGAGGGGAGGCCAAAGTATGCAGAGCATCAGTCACCAGGAGATGATGCTGTGTGACTGGAGGGTTGAAATGAGGCCTGGCATCAGAAATGGCAAAGATCAGACAAGGGTCTCAGGGACACTAACCCAAGCAGCAGCGGGTAAGACGGATCGTTAGTAGAGGCAAAAGGTTTTAAGTAAGTGTGGGCTGCAGAGTGGCTGAGAAGACTGCTAAATTTAAAACAAAACTGAAATCAGCTATAATAAAGGATGGGAGGAACCCAAACAGAGCAAGCAAACGGGCTTGGGGTGATGACGAACGTGGACACCCTTCTTTGTAGATGGAGACGGGATCGGCTGTTCAGTGGTGCTTCGTCTATGATTGCAGCCAGGTAAAGCCACTGCTCTCCCCTGGATCCGGAACATCTCCAAAGCCCACGTGTCGAGGGCTTGGTCCCCAGGTTGGCACCACTGGGAGGGGATGAGCCCTTAGGACATGGGGCCTCCTTGCAGGCCTGCAGGTCACTGGCCCAGGGGGAACTGCTGGACCCCAGCCACTTGCCCTTCCTTATCAGACCTTGCCCGTGAGGTAAGCAGCTCTACTCTGCCATGTGCTCCCAGCACGACACACTGCCTGCCCACCAGAGGTGTAAGAGCAGCAGACCAAACATGCAGGGCCTGGAACCTCCAAAACGGTGACCCAAGTGAACCTTTCTCCGTACATGCTTATCATCTCTGATAATTGCTACAGTCACGGAGAGCAGACAAACAGCCACACAAGGAATGACAACTGTGCGGAAACCTCATCGAGGAGGCCTAGAGTCCAGGATGGAAGTAACATCAACAGAGACCCGGATCACTTGCTCTTTCAGATCCATGTTTTCCTTCCACTTCTCACCTTCATTTACAGAGTTGTTGTAGCTTGCCTAGATTCTACAAGTCTACAGGACCCGCATTTCTGAACTTAATCTTGCTTCTTTCAAACTTCTATTTTATACCCTTACTCGACGACTCTTCTTTCTGAAACCTTCTCTTCCCAGAACTCTCAACGGCCCACACTTCACAACAGAAATTTCAAATTTCCTGTTTAGTTTTTAGAAGCCTCACCTGCAGGGACCTGCTCCAAAGTATCTCCTAGTACTTTCGAGGCACATGCTGTGATCAAAATGA